CACAACATTCACAATATGATAGTGCTGCAAGTATAGACACACACACAGTGATACATCAATCTATAGCATACACACACCTAGTCTTACACCAGTGTCACAACATTCACAATATGATAGTGCTGCAAGTATAGACACACACACAGATACATCAATCTCTCGTAAACACACACCTAGTCTCACACTAGTGTCATAACATTCAACATCTGATATATGAGATTTGGGATCTCACACACGCATAAATAGGCATGACCATTTCTTACATACCCACGCAGATACATTTCAATGTCTTACACGCACACAGATATATGCATGCACGTACACATGCATACATACAGACAACACACATCAATGTCTCACATCACACACCCACACCCACACTGTCTGTCGCATGTCGTGACTACCACACCATCGTCTCAAACACTAACCTGGCCATTCTCGTGGTGTGTGTTGTAAGCAACTCTCAGTTTTCCCTCGTGTAGGTACAGATGTATGTAGGTGTCCGTGCTGTTGTCAATAGTCGACATCAGGTATCCGTATGGTGACGTGGTGCGGAATGACAATTCTAAACAACAAAAATTAACAATTCAATAATTTATTGATTCTTAAATTAACAAAAATTATTAAGTACATTTTTTAAATTGACATTGAAACACTACACATTGAACAACACATTGAAATACATTTGCAAGCACATATGCAATTGCATACAATATATAGAGTGTACTAAAACAATGAAATTGAGAGAATACATCGCTACCAAACCATTCAATTACAAATGTTGTTAAATCTCCTAATATCCCATCTGTGACCATACCTATTTGAGAATCTTCGAACACTTCCAATGACTCGGCCGGATAAACTTTCATCAGGTCGTTGTTGTTGAAGACGAGGATGTGGGAGACACCAGGTGCTGCTAGAGGCAGACAGAGAATTAGTAAGAGACATCAGAGGTCACTGTATACAGAGCGATGGTTACTTCATGTGTTGCTACTCACACAAAAAACCCTTGAATAAAGATTTTACCATAAAGATTACTTTTACTCCTCTTAGTTTTTATCTTCCTTATTGTTTTGTAGGTATCAGTAATCACATGAATTCTGCCTTTATTCTGTAGCATGCTTTGATTGAGTAGAAAACGAGATCAAGGCCTAAGTAAACTGAGAATAATGATGACAGCTACTGTCATTATCATTAAAACTTGGTCTTTACAGATAAGATTGAATTATAGCAAATCATGTGCTATGGACTTTCAGCAGGAGTCACATTTTGGTTCTACAATTAACTCGGACGTTGTGACCAAAATCGTACCAAATTGTCACTACCATCACTCATTAGCTGAGAGATGTACCTGTAGAGGGGGTGGTTATCACACCCTGAGTAGGGCGGGTCACTATCGGGGGACGGGTCGGGCGCGTAATAGGCGCCTCCGTCGTCACCGGACCTCCCTCCTCAATGACGATGTTCCAGCCTCCGCCCGGCGGCAGTTCGAGCAGCGACTCGGAGTTGAAGTAGATGTGAGAAATGTAGCCGTTCCACAGGCGGGAGTAGTCTACGACGCCGTCCTTATTGTGAGCGCCCACGTACAGCGTGCTCACGTACAGCGTGCTCACGTGCAGCGGTGGGATCTGTCCAGTGATTGTTCCTATACGTCACAGAAAACATTTATATACAAAAATGAAAAAGGAAGAGAGAGGGAGAGGACGAGAGAGAGAATTTTGGAGAGAGAAAGCAAGAGAGAGAGCGAGAGAGAGATAAAGAAAGGAACACAAAGAGAAAGATAGAGAAAGAGAGAGGTAGAGAAAAAGAGTGTGTGCATGCGGGCGAACATGTGTGCGTGCGCCCATGCATGCATGTGAGAATGATAGATAGAGAAAGAGAAAGAGAGGGAGGGAAAGAAAGGGAGGAAGGAAGGGAGTGAGAAGGAGTGAGAAAGAGAGACGATGACCACACTGCAATCAACGATAAATTAATAACCTCATATAACGTAGTGCCACATATACACACATAAAGGACAGCTACAGACCACAGTGTGGTGACCTTGCACTGACCTTTAGTTGGCTGACCGTTGTCGACGTTTATGGTGAGGTCGGCACCGTCACGTACAATGGTGGCTGTGTGCCAGCGATTGTCAGCCAGATTCCTGCCTGTGTAGTACCACTGTAACATACAGAAGTGCCCAGTAACTTCACCATGTAAGCATTCCCATTAATAGAGACCAAGGTAGCATAAATATTACGCAAGAATTACTGCCTTGTGTATTACCACTGTAACCTACAGAAGTGCCCCAGTCATAGCATAAACATTACACTCAGATTCAGAAGCTTAGACAGAACAAGGAAAATCCACTTAACTGGACATGCTTCCATCACAAATACATCTTGGATATCTGACCAGCGAGCTTCGCAGTAGCTTTGCAATTTAAAAATAGCTCGAGAATCGAGTCTTGAAATGCTTATTTTCCGTGAAATCTAAGATGCCTACAGTGTACCCTACTCTCCTTCTGGCACCTGACACCTCTCTTCTCTGGTCTCCACCCACCCTCACTGAAACTCAATGCTTTCACTGCTAGCACCATCTACCTAGTCAGTGCACACCTCTAGCCCCACGGCCCCCACCTACCTGATCTCTGCGTCCGTCGAGGTTAAACATGGTCTTGAGACGTCCGTTCTCCAGGCAGACGTACATGTAGCCGGCGCGCCTCGCGTCGGTAGAGAGCAGGCAGCGGTTGTCGCCTGCCGTGCGGAATCGCAGCTTGATCTCGTTCTTCTCCGCTATGATCGGCTGTCGCGGCCGCAGCACCTGATACCAGCCTCCGCTAAACTGCTCTCCCCCGGTCGCTGCAAGACCGCACAGCAATTTTAGACGCGGCATTGCTAGTGGTCTATCCATCTGTGCGCGATAGCCACGCCTACCTTGGGCATTGTTGCGAAGTCAATAAAGGTTTTTTTACGCGAGCACGCCAAAATGACAAATTTTTTCCGCTCTTCGTTTGTATTGTGTTAGGTAGTATTGGGTTTGGAACAGTGTAGACAACTTTACTATAAATAAGCAATCAACTTTTGATGTTACGTCATTTCAGTCTCATTGTGACTCATGTATGTTGCATTTCCGCCACGCATATTAGAACATAATATTTAAAAAATTAATGATAACAGCTGCTTTTCCACCACGCCAGGTAGATAGGTCGATACATGTTCGATACATGTTTTTGAGGTATTCTTGCTACAACCAAACCTAGCAACATATATACAATATAATATAAATAATATATAATAATTAATATACAATTTATATATACAATACAAATATGTTCATGCCCACACTCACGTGTCTGACATCGCAGTCCCTGGAACTCTGTGCTCGAACAATCGCAGAAGTAGCTCGACTCTGTGTTGTAGCATCGGCCACCGTTACGGCACGGGTTGAGAGCGCAGTGGTCCACCTGCCTCGTGCACCGTCCCTCGTTACTGATCACCACACTAGGAACCTGCATACTCTCACTGAACTTCTACAAGTTCGAAAGAAAGAATGCAAGAAGGGAGAAGTGTCATTAGTTTCGCATAGGTACTAACTGACTGTCTCTATCCTCTCTCTCCTCTCTCTCTCCTCTCTTCTCTCTCTCCCTCTTCCTCTCTCTCTCTATCTTTATTTTTTATCTCCTCTATTTTTTTTTCTCTTTTTCTCTCTCCCCCTCTCTCTCTCTCTCTCTCTCTTCCTCCCTCTCTCACTCCCTCTCTCTCTCTCCCCCCTCTCTCTCTCCCTCGATCCCTCCCTCCCCTCTCTCTCTCCCTCGATCCCTCCCTCCCCTCTCCATCTCTCCCTGTCTCAGCACACGCGCACCTGCGGGAAGTTGTTGATCGTCAGGTCCTTGATGCATCCGTGGAAGAAGTAGTCGTCCGTCCACAGCGCATCGGCCGGCAGCAGCCGCCGCTGCTCCTCCGGCACGCCGCCGATCAGCATGTGCGTGTAGCGCGGCGCCGCCACCGTCTGCGCAAACTCGACGCTGTTGCCGTCGAGCGAGACCTCGACGAGCGTGGGTCGGCGCGTGAACGCGAAGCGGTGCGGCCGGCCGTCGTGCACGGGCCGCGAGTCGTCGATGGCGTAGCGGCGCGCCTGCCCGCCGTGCGTCTGCACGTAGTACAGCCGCCCGGCCTTCATCTCCACCGCCATCACCGGGTTGCCGCCCGTGAAGACGAGCACGCCGTCCGGCGCATAGGTCGTGAACTCGAAGGAGACGCGCGCGGCGTCGAGCGTGCCCCACAGGTCCATCGAGATGTAGCCGGCGCCGAGGAAGCTCAGCGCTTGATCGTTGGGAGGCAGCGACGGGCGCGTGTAGCCCGGCGGGTACGTGTACGGCGGTCGCGTCGGCGGCGCCGGAGTGGCGACCGTCGGCCACGTGATCGGAGGGCGGGTCACGGGAGGTCGCGTCGGCCACGTGAAGGGAGGGCTGGTCACGGGAGGTCGCGTCGGCCACGTGAAGGGAGGGTGGGTAATGGGAGGCTGCGTCGGACGCGTGTAGGAGATCTGAAAGCGAGAGAATTCTGATGAGGCACGAAGGGAGAATACGAAAAGCTCGTGATTCTCTTAAGCAGCAGTTATACAAACCACCGCTACAGAACATGTACAGGCAACTGTCTATAAAGGATGGTTTTTGGGGGTATCCTTTGAGTGATTCTTCTACACAGGTTTGAGTGTTTATTATATTATGATGATATATTATATCTGCTATAATTTAAAGCATAATAACCTGCCTGTCAATGTCAACAACATAAACACGGATTAATAAATAAAGCCACGTACGTGACAAAAATACCTTTACTAAAAAATATTGACTATGCCCATGACGAATAAGTAAGTTACATTACAGTTTGTTGCTTTCGTACGAATCAGAATTGCCATGTGTCGAACAATATGACTTTTAATTCGAATTAATTAATCATACTTATTATAAGACAACTGAACAACGCAAATCAGTGAACCATCACGTGATGTAACATGAAACAGCGAGTGCAGTAGCAAGTTTTCCCACTTTAGTTTATGATATCTGCAGTCACTACATGACATCTACACACATCTCGCTACGTTGACTCATCATGCAAGCAAACACTCGGTCACTTACAAACTGCCAGCGAAGCCGCGAAGCAAACCGGGTGACACGCCCTGCCACCTAGTAGCAACTAGCGAAAGCAGCGCACAACAAATTATTAGCAGTGGTAGCATCTGTGTACCAACACCAGGGCTCAGTGTTGGTTAGAGTGTTGACTGGGTAATCTCCCTACACAGAGCAACTATTCTGTGTTTTCTATACGTGATGTTACAGCTGGCAACGATCAATACACTACTACTAGAAGCAAAGCCTTACCAGTTACACTAACATATCACTATCGTATCTCACAAGTTACAAACACATACTGCTTTCACCAACAGACAGATACATTTAGTAATTTAGTAACTGTGCGGTAACAATTATAATGATTCGATATCTACATAAGCTAAAGGTGGACCCAATATAAATGCTTGTTATGTTTACCACTACGTGGTCGTTAGACGCTTCAGACTAGATCTGCTTCAAGATTAATGGAACCTATATTCTATACAAATTACCCACCACGAGTGAATCTTAGTGTAAGGCAGACGCCACGCTGCATTTTCTGAGGCGGATGATACTAGACGTACAATCGAACACATCGTTACGTTGCTGACAGTGCAGAGAGTTAGTTAACTGCTCGCGGCTGGTGGACGGCCCGCATCGTGACAGCGGCACCCACAGGGCAACACGCCACGCACCCCATTACTAGGAGCATGACAACCCATGGGTGTCAACCGCACGTGCTGCCACCTATGGGCGGCACCTGCACAGCAAAGGTGCAGGCAGGCGTACCACGAACAGACCACGTACCGCTGTCCCGTGCAGCCACCTACGGGTAGGCATTTCACGAAGGGACCACGTCACGTCGTCTCTCGTGCTGCCACCTGGTGGGGGAAGCTGTCGACCGGCCGCGCAGCAGCTGTTAGTAAGGGAGAAGGACGAGATACCAAGTCACCGCGTACATCCACTCCATCATTGATGAACACGTATGTGGAGCCCTGTAGCATCCAGTCGATCGCCCGGTAGACATCCTTCCTCGTCTCAATGAATATCTGCCATCATATACAAACCAATAATGTATAAGATGAAAAATATAAACAGTAGTGAATGCTACACACTGACACAGAGGTTAACATTTCTGGATCGTTTAGATGCCTAATTAGGCAAACTAACTATATCAGAACAGCATGCATCAATGTGATGGTGTAAATAGATCGTGTGTCTTCTTTCTTTCTCTTCCTCTCTCTCGCACGCTGTCGCCCAGTCCCACCTCTAAACCCTGAATCTTTAGTTCTTTCTTTTTGCTTATCTCGTTAATATAGCTTTGATGTGTACACAGCTGGGTTTTTTGTTGACCAATAGCTGTATATATATATATATCTTCTATACAATTTATTGTATATATAATCTATAACATATCAAATTAATCTATATGCATATATTAATATATATATATATATAGTTAGATAGATATAGATACATACATACATACGTGCATACATACATACATAGACAGTTTAATTTAATACATTCATTCCAAACACAAACAATTTAATCATCCATGCAACGTGACTCACCTTTTTCAGGTAACCATGGAGATTGTGGAGAACTCTGCGATTGGTCCAGTTTGGAGTGTCCGGCGTGCCTCCAAAGTAGATCACATTGTCAGGCACGTCATCGAATGAGAGACCGCTCACCCAGTCCGTGATCTCAATCTCAGCATCATCGATGTACATCCACAGCTGCCAACACACGATGCAAAATATATTGTTTGCAATATTGTCATATTGATATCAAGTTTATTTTAATTATTAGTATCATTTATATGATATATTAATTAAAAATATTATTATTTATTTAAATTAGTTTTATATTATATATTCCTTATTTGGTATTCATATTTTTTCGATGACAATATATTATGTCAATAACCCATCACCTAGTTAGTGGTTATAGTTATAGTTTATTTTTTAATAAAACCACATGGTTTATGGGCTTTAATTGCAGTCTACAAATCCATTACATTTTCCACACCTGGGCATTCTCATTACATCTCTTATGCGAATTGCCGTCGTGCTAACTGTGATTCCAGGCTTGTGTGAAAATAACGTGTAAATTATGATACGTATATCTCCATAGTGATTTTGCACGTAAAGCAAACATGAAGATTTGGTCGATTTAGAAAATGTTAGACGCACGCACTCACGCACACACGCATCCACACGTGTGCACGTATGTCTAACACACCTTGTCTCCACGTCGCTTGACAGTAACGGTGTGCCAGTTTCCGTCGCTGAAGGCGGGCTGGGGTCTGATGACACTGTAGACCTTGAAGTGAGGCGACGCATAGCCGGGCGGCGTGAACCGAGCCGTCAGGTTCAAATATCCGTTCTGCAGCAAACATCGTAGTTCACATGTTCACATCAGATCACACGCATGGTTAATCATATACTTACTTATAGCATTAAATTCAATTTTGTTGTAATACTGTAATAATTTGTAAGTATATTAATTATTTATTGTTTAAAGGTGAATTTCTCTATTGTTAACTTTTTGTAGTCATACTGTAATCATTTATAAGTATATATTAACTATTTATCATTTAATGGTGAATTTTTCTATTGTTAACTGACTTGTAGGGTAACGTCAGTGTTTTATACGTCAATTTTTAACCTGTAGGGACAAATTATTCTAAGAATTTTCTTGTTAAGCTCACCTGTAGGGACAGGTGAATGTTCTTGTTGCGGTTGCCGAGGTACCAGAGCAGCGCGTCCTTCTGGTAGGTGGCGAACGTCGTGCTGATCTGGAAGTCGTCAGTGAGGTGGATGCCTGCCTTCTCTAGCTCCAACCGCAGGTAGCCCTGCCCTGACACGTACTGGAACCTCGGGTCATTGTCAGTGATCGTCGGTAGCTCTGAGAAACGTGCGGGGAGAGGCGAGAGGCGATCAGTCAGTGTTGGAACCATCGTATGGCTCCATGATGATTAGAGGTATCATGAACACATCTATATTATTATGTATGTGTATATATTTTCGTACATTTAGATTTGATATCATTGCAGATAAGTAGATCATGCCCCGTGTTCTGTACCGATGTGTATCGATATGTTTGTGCTATTATTATAACACTCGTAAGTGATACTAATACTAATGTCATTATTAAAATGCTTCTGACAGTAGCAGCCCCATATCTCACAACAAATTTTGTTCATTTACTTTCCTGATTATTAATTCAGATGTCCACTTTATGTATATCATCGATAGCAGTAAACTCTTGATGTGATATTCAACTTATTTTGCATCATATATAATATGTATTTATATTATATATTAGTACAATATTTACCTCCAGTATACGGTGGATAAATGTCTGGTTCAGCTGCAACATAAACAACAAGAAATTAGAAAAACCATGATATTCCCATACCAGTTCATTACATTGTTGGTGTCAACAAACTAGCTGTTACCGTCATCAACAATATTAGCCTATAACTGTGATCAACACAGATGATATCATATCATTAGTTAGAACAAAATAGTTAGGAAAATTATGCTGTTAAACTGTTAAAGGAGTCAATAAAAAATCTATAATAAAAATGGAGAAAAACAATACAAAAAACAAAGGAATCCAAGTAAACACTAAATGACATATACATGGTGACTAATTGTAAGCTGATAACACACAAGATCTCGAAAAGCTGGCGCATATACGTATTTCCCACCTCACCTGACTGTAAAACCCATCAGCTGCAAACGCAAGCAAAATGTTTTAGTGAACAGATTGTGAATATAAAGCATGTTAATTCACAGGATATATAAATATAAATGTTGTTAGTTATACAGTTTGTTAAGAATAGCTGAAGTAGGTATACAATTATCACGATGTATGAAATAAGTATTAACAAATAAACAATAAATGAGCACGTGTCACATCATGTCGCACAAATGAACAACCAAGTGAACACATCGTGTACGCCTTCGAACAACCAAGTGAGCACACCATGAACACCTTTGAACAACCCAGTAAAAACATCATGCATTTTTGAACAACCAAGAGAACAGACCATGCACAACTCTGTACAACTAAGTGAAGACATGTACAATTTTGAACAATCACGTGAACACATCATGCACACCTATGAACAACTACGTGAAACAAATTGTGTACACTTGCGAGAAACCAAGTGAAAATATCATGCAGACATGTGAACAATCAGTGAGTACACTGAGTGAATATATATGATTCACTATTCCCATATCTGACACAATTTAACCAACCAGACGTATACACATCTCACAATCCTTACACGCCAAACGTCTCGGCGTTTGAGACACATGTCATAGTATCTGAAACAAATCGGTGTAACTACTGGGGTGAGGTACAGAGGTGAGCTGGCAAGCAGTGTGGTATTGTGGATGGGGAGCCACTCCAGGATACGCAAAACCAACACCGAACACAAGAGGGCAACACAGTGCGAATGCTAGATAAATCAAACCTGTCGGCGGCAGAACAGTAACAAGGACAGTTGGCGACAGCGTTAGAACAATTGGTGGTGATGTTGACGTTGGGGTAAATTCTGAAAATAAAATGCACCGCCGCGTGACACATCATAAGCTGCAGGCGCAGCACCGATCACACTGTAACAGAGACCGAATGTGCCAACACAAATAGTTGGCAAGAGTTGAAACGACTTATCCATTAGTGCAAAATAATCACACTATCTTGGATATTGTTGCTACATTGGTCCGGTCATGCTACGTCAGTTTGTGAGTGTTTTTCACATGGGAGCGCCAAAATGTCAACTTTGCGGCACTACATTGCCGAGCATTGTCTTTTAAACGTCCTATCGCAACAATGATTGACTAGATCTGCCTGTCGTCACTGCAGGTGGGTAGGTGAATCTCCCTATGATCTGCATCTCACGTACGAGATGTGTGCCAACAATGGTGACATGTTCTCCATATGATCAGAAGCAACAAGATACACAACTACTATGCCTTACGATAATCATCTACAGAACATTGCATGAATATAAGGCATTAGCATTAAAATTAAAGCAAATAAAATTATGCTAAAAAATTATGCTAAAAGCAATAAATTATGCTAAAGCATAAAAGTAGGCAGTAAGCTACATGTGAGTAGAGCTAGTACACACAAAACAAAAAAACACACAAAACAATACCACAAATCCATCTTCATACCTTCTACCATGTAACGCCATATCTCCTACGTTCTACCTTCATATCTCTTACCATCTACATATACCTACCACCACCATACCATAGATCCCACCATCTGCCTTCATGCGTCCTACCATCTACCTTTATAACTCTATAATATCCCTTAATACAGCCTACTACCATATGCAGCTTTATAACTCCTACCGTGCAACTTTATACCGCCTATCACCTCAATTTATACCTCCTACAATAAAATTTTATATCTCATACCAGTTACCGCAATAAGTAGACGTTAATCTGTAGGTGCAGATGTAGATTTACATGCACGGAATGATTTAGAGACAGATGTAGAGGTACAGATACGTGTGCAGGTACAGGTACAAGTACATGGAGTGTCACAACACATGTCACGCAATGATTGAATTACCTTCCAGTTTGATTTGACCCAGAGAGAGCAGCAGAGCTCTCCTCGCATCCCACACCTCCATCTCGTCCACGTTCACGTTGCCGTACTTCTCTCTCTGCATGTTCGTGTTGCCGCGGCCGACGTAGAAGTTTGCCGCGCGGTTGCCACGGGTTACATGCACGGGCACAGAGCTGCAATGTGAACAAGATGTAATATTACACAATGACAAATAACATATAATAATAATAAAATAAATATGAAATAAGAAATATTAACTGAATAAATACTAATTAACATACAGTTAAGACGTGCTGTTTAAACGTAAGTAAACACTTACTTGACGTCGACATGCTGGCTGTTCACGAACATAGTCAGACCCATGTCGGGATCCCAGCTCAGCTCAACAAAGTACCATCGCTCAGGCCGTATGCCGTCATACGAGGTCACCCATCGGTCGCGATCGGTGTTCACGCTCGCGTACAGTCGGCCGTTGTCGTAGTACACGTTCAGCGCATCCTTCAGCGAGAGAATCTGCATCTTGTCCGAGAGATTCGGCGACCTGGATCGACAAGAGTTCCGATGGTCGTTATCGTGAACGTGGTGGAAGTGAACAACTGTGATTTATCCATTACCACGAAGATATGTGCGTGATATTATCAGAAGTGTCATAATATAGATAATATGACACTACTGATCCCTATATTATGACACTCCTGATATTATTAGTCTATGGTGCGATCGTTGCATTACAGTAATACACGGATTAATGATGGAATCACATAGTAAAGATGATTCTAGGTTTTTTCACTTTTATTCTACATTCTATATTCTACATCTATTCCTTTTACATACGTCGAGGAAAACACAAAGCATAAGTGCACAAGCTCCCGCAAAATAAATATTAAAGTCTTCGTACTTCATCCAGAATCTGACTGTGAATCCGTGCCTACACGTCCTAACGTCATCCAGGCAGGTCCTTGTACTGGTACCAAGGTCGAGGAACTGCTGACGGCCATTCAGATAGAGGGCGTTGGCAACCTATGTGTGTGTGGGAGAGAGAGAGAGAGAATGGATACGACTATGAGGCCTGATCTTGCATGAACCATTGATCGCACTGGTACAGATCCATGGAGTCGCATTGTCAGAAACATCATATAGCTCCATGAAAGCAATTGATACTTATATAACACGAGGGAAAAGTTACACATGAGATCACTATTACAAAGTAAAATATACATGACAACAGTCCAGGTCAACCCATTGCAGCAAACCACTCCATCAGTCATATAGACATCGCATTCACCTATTACTCTTGTATTATTATGCTACGGTTCTCTTTTTGTTCTTCGAATATCCTACACTAATCTTGCCATTACTCTTCTATTTTACTTTGATCATCATCCTATCCTCTCATTATATGTTTACTGTTTTCTTTTCTTTTCTACGAAATTTTTACGAAATTCCTGCTATTCTCCTCATGTTTTTTCTATTACCCTCCTGCTTTCCTCATATTGTTCTCCTATTTTCCACCTATTATCCTTCTATGAGAGCTGACATGTGGCATGCCCTTACCTGTCCGGGAACAATTGATGGATAACCGGAGGTTCGGATGTTCAGGGTCGGATGTTCCATCGTCTGCTTCACCTGATTGACAGATTCCATCGGCAGCTCAACGTGGTTGATATCTACAGCAGACACGGAAGAAACAACATGGACTTCTGTTCTCTATCTCGCTTTTCCTCTCCCTCTCGCCCTCTCTCTCTCCTCATCTCTCATATCTATCTCTCTCTCTCTCCCCTTTCTCTCTCTCTTCTCTCTCTCTCCTCCCTTTCCTCTCCCTTCCCTCTCCCTCTCCTTCTCCTCTCCCTCTCTCCCCCTCTCTCTCTCTCTCTCTCTCGCTCTCTCTCTCTCTCTCTCTCTCTCTCTCTCTCTCTCTCTCTTCTCTCTCTCTCTTCTCTCGCTCTCTCTCTCTCTGTCTGTCTGTCTCACCTCTTGCTCCGTTCCTCTCTGCTCCTCTCCTCCTCTTCTCTCCTTTCTTCTCCTCCCTTCTTCTTCTCCTGCCTCTCCTCTTCTCTTCACCTCTTCTCTCCTCTCTTTTCCCTCTCTCTCTCACTCTCTCTTTCTCTCTCACTCTCTCTTTCTCTCTCACTCTCCCTCTTCCTCTCTATGTCTTCTCCTCTCTATCCTCTACTGTCCTTGCCTATGTGTACATTGCATTAAAAAACAAGGAACCCGAGTTCGTACCTCTGTGTAGATCCCTGATGTTCCAGGCATGTCGTCGAGGATGTCTATGCTGGCGTTGTACACGTGAAGCTCGTCGATCTTGCCCGTAAAGTAACTTCCCTCCAAGGTCGCCATTGGCTTGCCCAGGTAGACGGTGTAGTCGAGGGGAACCGACGGCTCCTTGCTCGTCCACGCTGTCGACATGGCGACGCGGCGGCCATCAATGTACATCTGCAGGCCGTGCTCGGATGCCATGACAGATCACCCTTGTACCTGCACGCGCACGCAGATGTTAGTTGTCGCCATGACGACCCCCGGATGTGCAGACGCCTCGATGTTAGCCGTCGCCGTAACAACCCCTGCACGTGCAGACGCGCTCGATGTTGGCTGTCGCCAAGACATCCAACAGGTGCTGACACCTCCAAGTTATTTTGCCCCATGACGACCTCTGCACACGCGGACGTCTCACTGCTAACTGCGACCACGATGGCCGTTCGTATAGATGCCACTCACGTCACCACGGCAACTGAACGTGTCGCTAAAATATTGTGGTATTGCCAAGGCAACTCAATGTGCCGCTAAAATATCGTGGTATTGCAAAGGCAACTCAATGTGCCGCTAAAATATTGTGGTATTGCCAAGGCAACTGAACACGTGTAACCGACTCGTCCTCGGATTTGTACAGCACGCTCACATGGTTGGGTCTTATGCTGCCGGGAGAGCCAGCGATCTTCCAGTGCTTGTTCTGCGTCATGGGCCTCAGCGTGAAGTCGTGTCTCCTGCGTAGTATACCTACAGACACACCACACACGTGCTTACATCATGCACACAGATGTTGTGTGCTAGTCACAACACACTGTAACCTGTAGTGTAACTTGTATTGTAACTTGCTAGTACACTCTCATATAACACGTAGTGTAACTTGAGGTGTAACTTGAAGTGTAACTTGTTGTTTAACTTGTAGTATAATTTGTAGTGTAACTTGTAGTGTAACTTGTAGTATAATTTGTAGTGTAACTTGTTGTTAACTTCATAGTACACACTCATATAACATGTAGTATAACTTTTATGTAACTTGCTAATATACACTCATATAACACGTAGTGTAACTTGCTAGTACACACTCTTATAACACGTAGTGTAACTTGCTAATATACACTCATATAACACGTAGTGTAAATTGCTAGTACACACTCTTATAACATGTAGTAGTAACTTGCTAGTATACACCCATATAACTTGTAGTGTAACTTGCTAGTACACACTCACATAACTCTACAGCTGACGCTACGTGGATAATGACACGTACCTGGATGGTGGGACAGGAATAGACGAACTGTTCTCTCTCAGCTGATCAAAGTTGACGTAGAAGGAGACGGTGAAACCCTCAGGAGCATCGTCTAGATTTCCTATCCAGTAATTGTCCTTGGAAAGATGATGCATGACTTATGTGACCACAATCAAACCAGTGCTAGCAGTGACCTCTACAGAACGGTCATCTGTCAGTAAGGCACTTTTAGGTATTTCCCTGATTGGCTGTTATACAGTAACAAAAACTCTATAGAACAGATATAGGGTCGTTTAGTAAATCCTTAGAGTGACCCTTATGCAGAATTGAGTGTATGTGACTACCACAAGTTTAAGATTATATTTATCACGACTTAGTATTACTATCATCACAGGTCAGAATCTGCTTTGACTTCATATATGATGCTTTCATGATAACAAGATGCATTTCATTTAATATTTTGGTACTTGTTGAAATAAAAACAATATCTTGTCTCTGATAGTACATTTTGCTTTCAATAAATAATAAACAACCTGAAAATCTGCTGACAATACCCATCATTGCACACCACACTCTTGTTCTCTTCTAGAAAAAAATTACTAATACATTCATAGTGTTATCTACTCACACCAAGAACAATCACAAAAAATCTAATACATTACATGAAAATCATGAAATAATGTATACTTCATGTATAAACATCAGCATACATAGTATATTCATGTAAAAAACGTTATATAGAAAATACCGTACTTCAGTGCCGTTTCAAAATGGTCACAGCATGGAAGTTCAGATAGCTCATATTACACCAACTACGATTTCTAATGATCTCTACAACTACCAAAACACACTGTTTATGCATATGTGCATAGGTGTGCGTGTGTGCATGCATGCGTGCTTGCGTGCGTGCGTATGTACGTCCGCCGTCAGTGAGTGTGCGTGCATGCGTGCGTGCGTAATGAGTGTGTGAAGTGTGAACACACACATTAAAACCGAGTAATGACAGCAGCATTAAACTAAGGATGGCTTTTTCTCACGATGTACATTTAACTATGAGGCCGTGAGAGATGATGGAAAGCCCATGTATATATATATATATTTATTTATATTATAGTTATATTATATATTTATATATATATATATATATATATATATATATATATAAATAGCTGTACATTAGTGATTCCGTTTACGTGATCAGGGGACCATCGAAAATTTCCACTCCTCAGCGAATACAAACACCGTAATCATACGATAGAGTTGTTTAGGTTTGTAAAACTATATTAATCGCAGCTCAACTTTATGGACCATGAATTTTACACAAGCCCTCTGTGAAATAATGTAATTGGAATATTCGGCAGTTATAATTAGTACTAGGAGCATACGTATATTAGTGCACGTGTTCATGAATATATATGTACTAGTATACATATATTCACGATCGTACTACCATGTAAATCTATTGATAGTATAGATATGTTCATGGTAGTAATGCTTAATTATCACTTAATCTAACACCACTAAAACCCATCATATAAAGACAGCTTGTATCCACACCACCTATAGCAAGAAGAGAGCTGGATTATTTGAAAAAGACAAATGCAATCGATGATTACCGATTCTCACATTTGCTTCTCTTGTCAATAAAGAACGTGACATGCAGTAGAGTGATGATAATATACCAAGACCAGTGATGGCCAGCATGCATGCAAAGCATTTAATAGAATGAGAAAGCTACCGGGGTTAGTAAGAGAAACAGCAGAGGGAGAACCATGTGCCCAAGCGTTCATTCCTACCTCGTTGTGTTTGCTCTAAAAAGAAAAAACCGGCGGAAATCTCCACGTGATTAAATGGAAAACGTACGTGGCAACTACGGTAACCCTATACCTGGCAATATTGCGTGGAGAGTGGAAGATGTTATGCGACATGCATCAAAGTGACTCTACATTGCAGCCAAATGCTCTGATATTAATCCCTCTAGCTTATTACAATATATACCATCTATAGTATCTATAGTACTCTTTCCAACCATCAGTCGAGTGGTGAATACTGGCATCGTGCACTAATATGGACTTACATACTACTGACAATATTAGCAAGTCAAGCGGCTTTATCACGATCAAGACCATCAACATGATACAAAAGCGTGTGTTATCACATATACGTTGACGCGAAACGTTTCTGCTCTCGACAAAGTTAACGCGAACGCAAGACACAGATCTCTCATGGTCCTAGGTGCCAATTTTAAGCTCACTCGTCATGCACCTGGTACTGCTTACTGCTACAGCGACTACAGCCCCACCTGTTGGCAATGGCGACAAACTGGTCGTGACCGTTGAGGCTGATGGCATTGCCGACCTTGCCGGGGACGGTGGTGGCGCCCCCTTCTGTCTGGATAACGAACAGCACGTGCGGCATCAGGTCGTTTTCGATGTATTCCATAGAGAAGGTTCGTTGCGTGACGTGAATGTCATCGGGAATGTCTGAAACGCAGATGCAAGGGTCGAATTTTAATAATTTAGGCCAATACAATTGTTAAAGTTAAAGTTTAACTAGCTGTATTAGGACACATTCCCTGCCTGCATACCTTTCAGGATGTCAGTAGGCATTACTATAACATATGTTAAGTGACTTACATATCTTACAACACATGTCACACAGGGCCTATGTTGGTAGGTATATCATATATCTTACAAGTCTTCAGCAGGTATATATCATATATCTTACAAGGCTTCAGCAGGTATATCATATATCTTACAAGTCTTCACCAGGTATACATCATATATCTTACAAGGTTTCAGCAGGTATATCATATATCTTACAAGTCTTCACCAGGTATACATCATATATCTTACAAGGTTTCAGCAGGTATATCATATATCTTACAAGTCTTCAGCAGGTATATCATATATCTTACAACGTTCCAGCAGGTATATCATATATCTTACAAGGTTTCAGCAGGTATATCATATTTATGCTAAAGCATAAAGGTAGGCAGTAAGCTACATGTAAGTAGAGCTAGTACACACAAAACAAAAAAACACAAAAAACAATACCACAATCCTCTTCATACCTTCTACCATGTAACGCCATATCTTCTACGTTCTACCTTCATATCTCTTTCCATCTACATATACCTACCACCACCATACCATAGATCCCACATCTGCGCTTCATGCGTCCTATCATCTACCTTTATAACTCTATAATATCCCTAAATACAGCCTACTACCAATATGCAGCTTTATAACTCCTACCGTGCACTTTATATTCCTCCTATCACCTCAATTTATACCTCCTACAATGAAATTTTTATATCTCATACAGTTACCGCAATAAGTAGACGTAATCTGTAGGTGCAGATGTAGATTACATGCAGACATATTAGAGACAGATGTAGAGGTACAGATACGTGTGCAGGTACAGGTACAAGTACATGGAGTGTCACAACACATGTCACGCAATGTTTGAATTACCTTCAGTTTTATTTGACCCAGAGAGAGGCAGCAGAGCTCTCCTCGCATCCCACACTCCATCTCGTCCACGTAACGTTGCCAGTACTTCTCTCTCTGCATGTTCGTGTTGCCGCGGCGACGTAGAAGTTGCCGCGCGGTTGCCACGGGTTACATGCACGGCACAGAGCTTGCAATGTGAACAAGATGTAATATTACACAATGACAAATAATATATAATAATAATAAAATAAATATGAAATAAGAAATTATTAACTGAATAAACATTAATTAACATACAATTAAGACGTGCTGTTTAAAACGTAGTAAACACTTACTTGAGCGTCGACGTGCTGGCTGTTCACGAACATAGTCAGACCATGTCGGGATCCCAGCGTCAGCTCAACAAGTACCATCGCGCTCAGCCGTATGCCGTCATATGAGGTCACCCATCGGTCGCGATCGTGTTCACGCTCGCGTACAGTCGGCCGTTGTCGTAGTACACGTTCAGCGCATCCTTCAGCGAGAGAATCTGCATCTGTCGCGAGAGAATCGCGACCTGGAATCGACAAAGTTCCGATGGTCGTTTATGCGTGACGTGGTGGAAGTGAACAGCTGTGATTTATCCATTACCACAAACATATGTGCGTGATATTATCAGAAGTGTCATAATATAGATAATATGACACTACTGATCAGCCTATTTATGACACTCCTGATATTATTAGTCTATGGTGCGATCGTCTGCATTACAGTATATACACGGATTAATGATGGAATCACATAGTAAAGATGATTCTAGGTTTTTCACTTTTATTCTACATTCTATATTCACATCTATTCCTTTTACATACGTCGAGGAAAACACAAAGCATAAGTGCACAAGCTCCCGCAAAATAAATATTTAAAGTCTTCGTACTTCATCCAGAATCTGACTGTGAATCCGTGCCTACACGTCCTAACGTCATCCAGGCAGGTCCTTGTAGCTGGTACCAAGTCGAGGACTGCTGACGGCCATTCAGATAGAGGGGCGTTGGCAACCTATGTGTGTGGGAGAGAGAGAGAGAAGAGAATGATAGACTATGAGGCCTGATCTTGCATGAACCATTGATCGCACTGGTACAGATCCATGGAGTCGAGTTGTCAGAACATCATATAGCTCATGAAAGCGATTGATACTTATATAACACGAGGGAAAGTTACACATTGAGATCACTATTACAAAGTAAAATATACATGACAACAGTCCAGGTCAACCCACTGCCAGCAAACCACTCCATCAGTCATATAGACATCGCATTCACCTATTACTCTTGTATTATTTCTACGGTTCTCTTTTGTTCTTCGAATATCCTACACTAATCTTGCCTCTACTCTTCATTACTCTACTTTGATCATCATCCTATCCTCTCATTATATGTTTACTGTTTTCTTTTCTTTTCTACGAAATTATTACGAAATTCCTGCTATTCTCCTCATGTTTTTTCTATTACCCTCCTGCTTTCCTCATATTGTTCTCCTATTTTCCACCTATTATCCTTCTATATACTTTATGTGTTGCTATGAGAGCTGACACGTGGCATGCCCTTACCTGTCCGGGAACAAATTGATGGATAACCGAGGTTCGGATGTTCAGGGTCGGATGTTCCATCGTCTGCTTCACCTGATTGACAGATTCCATCGGCAGCTCAACGTGGTTGATATCTACAGCAGACACGGAAGAAACAACATGGACTTCTGTTCTCTATCTCGCTTTTCCTCTCCCTCTCGCTCTCGCTCTCTCTCTCTCTCTCTCTCTCTCTCTCTCTCTCTCCCTTTCTCTCTCTTTCTCTCTCTCTCCCTCCCTTTCCTCTCCCTTTCCTCTCCCTCTCCTTCTCCCTCTCCTCTCTCCCCCTCTCTCTCTCTCTCTCTCTCCTCTCTCTCTTCTCTCCCTCTCTCTCTCTCTCTCTCTCTCTCTCTCTCTCTCTCTCTCTCTCTCTCGCTGTCTCTGTCTGTCTCTCCTCCGCTCCGTTCCTCTCTGCTCCTCTCCTCTCCTCTTCTCTCCTTTCTTCTCCTCCCTTCTCTTCTCCTTGCTTCTCATCTTCTCATCACTCCTCTTCTCTCCTCTCTTTTCCCTCTCTCTCTCACTCTCTCTTTCTCTCTCACTCTCTCTTTCTCTCTCACTCTCCCTCTTCCTCTCTATGTCTCTCCTCTCTAATCCTCTACTCTCCTTGCCTATGTGTACATTGCATTAAAAACAAGGAACCCGAGTTCGTACCTCTGTGTAGATCCCTGATGTTCCAGCCCATGTCGTCGAGGATGTCTATGCTGGCGTTGTACACGTGAAGCTCGTCGATCTTGCCCGTAAAGTAACTTCCCTCCAGGTCGCCGTTGGGCTTGCCCAGGTAGACGGTGTAGTCGAGGGGAACCGACGGCTCCTTGCTCGTCCACGCTGTCGACATGGCGACGCGGCGGCCATCGATGTACATCTGCAGGCCGTGCTCGGGATGCCATGACAGATCCACCTTGTACCTACACGCGCACGCAGATGTTAGTTGTCGCCATGACGACCCCCCGGATGTGCAGACGCCTCGATGTTAGCCGTCGCCATAACAACCCCTGCACGTGCAGACGCCTCGATGTTGGCTGTCGCCAAGACATCCCAACAGGTGCTGACACCTCCAAGTTATTTGCCCCCATGACGACCTCTGCACACGCGGACGTCTCACTGCTAACTGCGACCACGATGGCCGTTCGTATAGATGCCACTCACGTCACCACGGCAACTGAACGTGTCGCTAAAATATTGTGGTATTGCCAAGGCAACTCAATGTGCCGCTAAAATATCGTGGTATTGCAAAGGCAACTCAATGTGCTGCTAAAAATATTGTGGTATGCCAAGGCAACTGAACACGTGTAACCA